CTAGCCTCCACAGAATGCTCCAGGACTGCAGGAAGTGGTTGAGGGTTACTCAATAGTCGGTGTTCTCCCTTCATGTCTGCATGAATCCTGGGCTGCACTACAGGGTTGGGAAATGTTTGTGTTGGAAGTGGTGCCTTTCAGAAGAGATGTAAAAACAAAGGTCTAGGTTGCTTGTGGTCACTAAATATACCATGTTTTCTGTGACTGTAGGGATGTTCTTGAGTTTCCTTTCTATATTTATATTCTCTTCTTCATCATATTTTTTTCATGTAATTTGAAGGCTGTATTTCTCTTTTCCCAAACAAAACTAGAATGGCGTATAACTGTAATTCTTTACCCTATAATAAGACTGTTTTAGGAAATGGATAAAAGCGATTTCTTCTTGTTTAAGAAAAGGTCATAAACTAAAATCTAAGTTTCCTATAAAAGGATTGACGATAATTTAATAGTTTCTCTGTTTTATTATTGGCATATCTTATAAATTATATCAATTTTTAAAATAACGTTGTCTTCAGAAACGTTTATTTTTCCAGTATCAACATTTTAAATGTTTTCCATTTATGTAAGATAGCAAAATATAAAATGTCTCAAAAGCATTCTGCTCAGACTCTTTCCTCTCTCGAGTATCGTTGCGTTTTTTTTCGCATTACCTATTCAAGTGCTCACACACAAACTTAGCAAACCTACACACACACATGCACACATGCACATACACATACACACTCACTTCCCTTTGCTCTGAAAATGGTCAGAACAGGATCATAATGCACAAATGTTTCTCTGAATATTTCCTTATGTTAGATTAGTTTCTTCTGAGTTCTGTGCTTGCCAATGCTAAATTGTCTGCCAGGGCAGTAGTCTATTTTTAACATTTTGGGGGCTTATCCTTCATTCCAAATCTAACAGGCATATTTCATGGAGTGAAAGAGAGAAAGCTGACTGGGTGCACTTACAAATCAGGATCATCAGGATTTGCAATTTCTGTGGAATCAAAGCTATGAATGAGAAAGACCAATTAGAATACTTAAAAGATCATTTGTAACTCCTTTAATCTTCATGTATTTTTTACTCATCATTTTCTTTGACTAAAATTATTAGAATCTTTGTCATATTCATCGCAAGGCCAAATGGGAAGAGTGGTGTTCATTTTCTATTTTCAATATTTTGGAGCATTTTAACATGTCATACTAGATTATAGGTGGTAGGCAACTCTTTTAATAGAGAAAGTTTTAGCTTGTGACATATTCAGCATCATATCATTTCAGTGTCACTTCTCTAATTCCATATTTCATATACAAATCAAAACTGAGGGATTTATTTCTGTTATTTAATAGCATTTGTTTAACTCAGAGATTAAAATATCATCTTCAATCCTGAAACAGAGACCCTCTGAAACATCAGACCCCCCAAAATTGGACACGGCCTACTAGCCCAAAAAGAACGTGTTGCCAATTATCTCCATGTTTATTTAAATATTTTGCTCTAAAGGAAGAACTCATTCCTTTATAATTCTTTAAATTTAGTATTGACATTTTTATTTTGGGAAAGGAGGTCTTTTTTTTTTTTTTTTTTTTTTTTTTTTTTAAACATGGATACAGGAAAAGAAAACTCTCCAATAAAAATATTGTCTAAAAAGTTTGTTTTGTCTGCATGATTTACTAAATATGTACAATTTCAATTCACAGCGAAGGTAACAAAGATTTAAACAGCCAACATCACAAATGTCTCAAGTTCTAAAAAAAAATCACTGTGCACAGTTTAACAATTTAATTGAAAAAACCAAAGCTATGCCTTCAGTCTGAATCTTTTTTTTATGATGGGCACAAGCCATGTATTTTCTTCATCTTTGTTACACGATGCATATTTCAGTGACTAAAGCCCCTTCCCTTTTTAGTATATTAGGTTATTGTCAGTACATACTTAAGAGAGGCATAAATTGCCTCTAGGTACACCAATATGATTTGTGATGTGTTCATATATATGTCATAATATTTATTAATACAGAAAATGATCAGATGAGTCACCTGTGATTTTTTTTAATGTCTTCAAATGTAGGAATGTTTTGTTGCATGTATAAAATTTTTAAAATTTATGGGTGCTTATTGAGTAATAATAATTTGACCAGTGTCCCCTTGATGTAAGGTGTCTAGAAGGAACTATTCTGCTCTTGAAATATAGAGATTTCACTTCTCTACCCAATTCAGGTTTGTAAAATTTGCTTTTATATGAATCTGAATGTTGTGGTCATTCTGATATAATGATCAAGTGAGTGAACCAACTAATCATTAGAAACAAATGTCATTGAATACAGAATAGTTGAGTTACAGTTAGTTAAGGAGGGAGCCGTAACTTCGGCTACCCTATAAAATCTATAATAAGGTTGTTTTCATACATATTTTTTCCCAAGTAAATTCTTTGGTGTTTTTCCCCCTCTGTTTTTTAGTGCTATGATTGATGAACGTGCAATATGAGCCTCAAATAATTGCATTGAGCATGTTTA